GTCTTTCTTGTAGTCCTGGGTTCTTGGTGTAGTTTGCAGCATACAGTATATGCATGTCCTCAGCAAAGAACCCTTCCATTGTATTGTTAAAATCATTTTCTCATTTTATTCTCAAAATGATCAAAGATTTTGTGTACCAGATTTCTCTTCCATGAATTTACACTGTTCCTCCTGAATGCTTACTGGCTATTCAAGTAGCCTCTCCTCCTCTCTTGCTCTTATTTTCAACATTTTCACCACTTCAAAGATCCTTGTATTTTCTTTCTCTCCTGTCTTTTCAATGTCTGTTCCATTTGTTTTTACTTCCTATTAGTGCAAATAAGAATTATACTAAATTTAAACCTTTAAGGAAAAAAAAGTTATGCTTTATATTAAAAAAATAGAAGAAAGTTGTTCTGTTTTGGGTCTTTTTTTTTTTTTTTTTACTGAACACTTTGTGGTTAACCAGGGACCAATATCCCTAATCATTAATTTTCTAATAGAAGGATTATTAGGTTTTTTATTGAGATATCTCTACAGTTTTATAGTTACAGGTATACCTATAGCTTTATAGTTAACATCTCAGTCAATGGTGAACTATAAGAATGGGAACTGGAAGGCTATAACGCTTTTGGAAAGATAAGTTTGTACAACTAACATATATATTCCTATTGTTAAACTTCAGTAAAAAGAGTGATGTATTTTATGTAAGAAAAAGTGCACTGTATTTTAGAAAAACTGCTTTCAAAATAGTTTTAAAGCTATTATTATACTTAAAGTGGTACCTCTATGGGGTAACTTTTTGTTTTCCAAGCTGAAGCATAAGGAAAATATCTCTGTAGTGATTAGTGACCTAACCAGTCATTTAAGATCTCATTAAATCAGCAGCAGGCCTTTCCTACCAATGTGAACAGTTGCGTACCAAAGGAGCATCTCATCTTCTTCTCTTTTTGACACTTTGCTAAATTAATAAACTGGTTTTTCATGTTGAAGTGAAGTACTAATAGGCATTCCTTTTATTAGATGAAGAACATGGTGATGCTTAGAATTTAAATATGTGTGCAGTCGTTTAAATATCTGTAATATATTTTCAAATATATAATATATACAAAGGTGATACAGATGAAAATACAGCATCTATTTGTGCAATTTTGCATGGATATTTGTAACTGACAGTAGATCATACCTGAGAAGAGAAAGAGAAAATGAGATGATATTTCATACAATCTGCCATGTTCTAAATGCTCCACTTCTTAAATGTAACAGCAGCAAGGTCAGGATGTTTTCAGCGAAGGGCATTGGAAAGCACTTCTGCCAGGCGTGGCGACCAACAGCAGCACTGTGCCTCTACACTTTCATGTAGTGCAGAGTGGTGTACACATGAGCTACCAAAAGTGAAATGGCTTTCCATTTGAATCTCTGTAGAAAAATGGTTCCGAAGCTAAGATGATTTTTTTTTGCCTTTTGGAGAAAATGGCATGGCTTAACAGCATGCAATTTAAAATGATTTATTAAAGTGTACATTTTAATATGTGCTTTCACAATTTTATCTTAAGCAAACATTTAGCATTTTTGGATTCCATTTTTATGTCACAAGGTGAATCAACTCCACTTAATAATGTGCATCTTAAATAAAATGGAAAATATACATACACTGAAGGAAGTAAAGGGTGGAAAATTTCCATTAAAGAATAAAAAGTTGACCATGAATACTTAAAAATATGTATATAGTAAAGGTGAAAGCTATTTAGCACAAGTTAGAAAAATAATCCATATTTTCAAATCCTTTTTATTGTTTCTTTTATTCATTTAGATTCAAGGAAATAAACACCTAAATATACAAATTAATAAATTATCACCAAGTATATGCACCAGTGGATAGCAATATCAGGCCAAGAAAACATCACTAGCTTCCCAGGTGTCACCTAATGTTCTATATTTTTCCTTACCTTCTCCGAAAGACCACTTCTTATTGGTTTCTAAAATTACAAATTAGGGTGATTTAAAAACATTTTATAAGCATTGGAAACATGTAACACAGTTGTAACGGAGGGCCCTTGGCTCCAGGACCACCCAAACAAAACCCAAAACAGACTAGCTGACATCAAGTCAGCTCCAACTCAACTTATAGCCACCCCATCGCCCAAGGTAGGACCGCTCTCGTGGGGCTCTGAACTTGTCATCCTTATGAGAGCGGAAAGCCTTCACTTTTCCCCACAGAGTGGCTGGTGGCTGCAGTGTGCTATTGACATAAACATTTAGGCATCTACCTTTTTTCCCCCTCCTTTTTTAGTTTGTGAGGACGTCTCAGAAATGTGGTTCACAATTTTAAGTTGCTGTTTTATATAAAGCTTCCCTTGTTAGTCAAGAAATGTTATTTAATTCAAAACAGATCCATTATAATTTTAGATGGTCTAATCTCTTTCTCACCCAGAAAACATTCTCCAAGTTATCACTTCCTATATCCCTTGCTCGAAAAAGTACTAGTTCCTTAACTAACCCCATGAAGATCATCTGTACCCATGAGCAAGAATGTAGGGATAAGGGGCAAGGAAGCCATTGGAATTTGCATTTACAAATAGGTCTCCTACATGATTTTAATGAATTGTCAACTGTGGTAACCTTTGAATAAAAACATGATATGGAGATCTTGGAAGGACACATCATTATCTGACTTATATATCCGATCAGTGGGCTGAAACAGGAACAAAGAATGGATACCGATGCCAATACTTAGATCCTTTCTGTCATTAAGTAATGCTACGGATTAAATTGTGCCCCCCTCCCCTCCACCACCCACAAATATGGGTCATGAATCCTAGCCTCTATGCTCATGGTCATACTCCCATTGGTGCGTGGATGGTCTTTCTTACACTCATAAAACAGGTTCAGTTTTTAGAGTGCTTGCGTCAATGTCAATCTCTTTTGAGATATACTAGAGAAGAAGAGATGGGAGGAAGCTGTCAAGTGACATGAAGACTGACATTGAATAAAGCTCAAGGAGATATGGACCTTCTGCCAAGAGAGAGAGAGAGAGAGAGATCCTCTCACTAGGGAGAGAGAGATCCTCTCACTAGGGCCAGCACCCTGAATAAGATTCTTTCCTCCAACCACTAAAGCCAATGATGAAGAAATAAGATAATTCTACCACTTTCTTCAGCCAGAAATTTATCAAATATGTACTGATAATTTGTGGAATTGGAATGCCAAAGCTGGAAACAAACAGGAAAGGTCAGTAGTTGGGCACTATGGTGGTAGAAACAGAGCTGGAGATTGCATGATAAAATCTTGCAAGGACAATAATTTTTTCATCGTAAGTGCAATTTCTTTTCAACAACACAAATGGTGACTATATATATGGATTTCACCAGAGATATAGAAAAGAATTAAATGTACCATATATATGAGAAAAGATCATGGAGATGCTCAATATCATCAGTCAAAAGAAGGCCAAGAGAAGACTATGGAACTATTAAGTACTCATATGCAAGCCTAGGGTGAAGTGAAGAAAATAAAAGCAGGTTTCATACAGCCAAAATACTGTATATCCCACTTGAATATAGTGACCATCTGAAGAATGTTGATTCGGTGCACACTAATGAGCAAAGGTGAGACCATGTAGGCATTGACATCAACAAAATCATACATGGAGAAAGCTCAAGCTAAAACTCATTGCCATCAAGTCTATAACTATTTATGGGAGTAGAAAGCCCAGGCATAACCACTACACTACCGGGCTCCACATGCCTATTACATGATTAAAATACTGTAGTTGTAACTGATGAACCTTAGTCTCCAAAATGATATCCTTCCTCTTTAACCCTTTAAAGAGGGCTTGATGAAAGTGCATCATTTAATTTCTTTGCAGCTTCTATGAGCATTAACTGTGTAGCCAAGTTACATTTTTGAGGATTCCAATATATTCTCTACTTATCATCAAGTTGTCTATTGGCCCAGTTTTGAGGAATTTGGTCTTCTTCACATTGAGTTATAATCCACACTGAGGGCCACCGCCTTTGAGCTTCCTTGGAAGGTGCTTCGTTTTCTTCACTTTCAAGGAGCAAGGTGGTGTCATCTGCATCTCGAAGATCGTTAGTAAGACTTCCCCCACTCCTGACGCCAGGTTCTTCTTCTTGCCGTCCAGCTTCTTGGATGATATGCTCAGAATACATATTGAATAAGCATGGTAGGAAGTTTGAACCCCGATTAATATACAAACGTAGACATTCTATATTGTATTTAATTTTCTCATTCATTGTAATTGCTACACAACATGTTCAACTTTACAACTTATGATTTTTACTTTGTTGTTTGCTGTTGTTCGGTGCTGTCGAGTGGTTCTGATGAACATGTACAAAAGGACGAAACAGCCCCGTCCTGTGCCATCCTCACAGATGCTCTTATGCCTGAGCCCGTTGTTACGGCCACTGTGCCTGTCCACCTGAAGGGCCTTTCTCTTTGTCACTGTCCGAATGTCCTTTGTCAGGGATTGATCTCTCCTGACAACATGCCCTCATTTAACATTACTTCCCAATTAGGTCGCTATAAGAAACTAGCATCTGACAAACATAAAGTTTGGATCAATGTAATAAATGATTTTCCTTAGGATTATTGTTAGTGTATACTTCAATATTTAAAATCTGATAAGTTATAAATGTGTACATATACAAACACACATGTCATAGACCTGCCTGCTTTCCAAAAGGTTAAAGCAGAATGCCTCATTTCAAAATTTGAGTGGTTATTATTCAATATTTTAAAATTTTATTGCTAACCTTAGAGGTCTTGAACACTTGGGATAAGTCTTCCCCCTTAGCTAAATGAAATGATGATTAACTCAAGGGGACAAGAGTAATCAATAGCATGATGAGAGAATGCTAATTAAATACAATTACTAATTGCCTTTTGAAATGAATCTACCTATTGATTCACTATTTTAATAGGAGAAATGGTAACATCATTCTGATTGAAGTAAAGGATCTTATAATATAATTTGACTTTCCTCTGTGTATTCTTCCTAGATGTGTGTCACCACTATTGTGTGAATTCTGAATCCTGTACCGTTGAGGATGACGGAGGTGTGGAATGTGTCTGTCCAACCCGCTATGAAGGACCAAAATGTGAAGTTGATAAATGTACAAGATGTCATGGGGGACATTGCATTATAAATAAAGATAGTGAAGATATAGTTTGCAAGTAAGTGCATATCAGGCCTTTTTATTGAAGAATTTGAACTCAAAAGGACATGGTACTAAAGTAATAAAACAGGAAAAGTAATGTAAATTGTCTTTATTCTAAACCACTGTAGGGTAACCTTGGTATTATATTTTTGAGGCTACTGATGATGATCAATTTTCTTTAACTCAACCTATGTAACACCTGTTAGAAACATCAAAACCCATCTTGTAATGGGATTAGAAGACTATTGACCACATAGAATATTCCTAATAATAATAAATAGCAAAATGCAGCATGCTTTTTAAAAAGCCAACTGTGATTTGATGACATTAAGATTTGTCAGGTCTTTCATCGCTCAATCCTTATTAGTACTTTTCTGTTGCCACTACAAATTCAACCTTTGGAGGAGGGACAAAAGGTCTATGATGTAAAACAAGCTTTTGTAAATTTTTTTCTTTAAACTGACATTGAACATTATACTACAGGAAGTACAGGGACTGATGTTTCTGGGAAGCAATAGCAACAAAACTGTACACGGTTGATTTGGTTATATTGCTTTAAACATTAAGTGACAGAAAGGCAGAACATCTCGACAAAAGGATAAGACCATTTCAGTTTCCATCGCGAAACAAATGTATGCCAGAGAGGATAGAAATCAAGCCTCATTCAAGCTTCTTTCAACCACCTTTTAAAGAAGGACTAGACTCTACCGCGTGCCCGGCTTTGGTGTGTAGTGAGCATGCAAGCCAGGAAGGAGAGCCCTGCAGCATTCATGGCCCGCCTCTCATTGAGCGTCCACTGGCAGCGTGCTAGCCAAACAAGACCCAATGCCATGTCCTTACAGACAGCATCAGCATGTTTACCAATTTGTTCTTATTGTAGAATTTACTCTGAATATGATTTATGTTATAATTATGAATGACATTTACTCACACCTTCAAATTTGATCACTTAAAAGTACATTATTTTCAAAGCAAAGTCATTGAAAATGAAAATCGAGTGCCTTCGGTAAGTACATAAAACCAAAATACATTTTTATATCAGTTACCAGAATGATATTTGCCCATAAGCTTAACTGTACTTTGGGATGACATTTAACATGACAGAACTTTATTTTAATTAATGTGCAGATATATTTTCCTTCACGTCCAGCACAATTTATCAGTGACAGGCTAGTTGGCGCTGCCTGATGGCAGCCCCTGTAAGTCAGACAAGAACTGCCTCCTAGAGTTTCCGAAACCTGATTTTTTTTCAGAACTAGATTACGTGATGTCTCTTAAAAATTAACTCCAAGCTTTTGGTATTACTTTAGCACATTAAACATCTGATCCCACATCAAATGAGCATTGGACTACTAACTGCAAGGTATGTAGTTCAAATCCACCTATTTATCCATGGGAGAAAGGTGAGGCTGTCTGCTCCACCATACAGCCTCAAAAACTCTATGTAGGTAGATTCTCTATGAGTTGGACATGACTCAATGGCAGTGAGTTGGGTTTGACAATGAGTAGATAATGAACTTCAAAATAAAACAGCACAAACATGCTTACCTGACCAGGTAAACTAGACAACGTTTAAAAGTGTCATGTTTAAAGCAGAGGTCTCCAGGTCTCCAGGTATTTAAAAATTATATCAATTAAAATTAATGTTCACTTTGATTATAGCTTATATCAGCACTAAGTTAATGTTTACGGTGATGTTGAAATCTGTTTCATAGGTAAAGAACATATGCAGGAAGCATTATTACAGCATAGTTAAAGTGAATCGTTTTTATTTAGTTATAAATGTTTTAGAACACTATATTTGTGATAGCAACTAAGCAGTTATGTTATTAATTACATAGCCTATGAGCTGTCAACTAGAATAGGTATTCTGTCAGGTATACTCAATATAAACTTTAATTTAAGTATTCAGCTCAATTCTGAAGAATACTTTATCATAATATTGAATAACTTAAAATTATCTATGTCAATTGTTATGAGTGTTCTTTGTGTTCAAATTAAAATTAACACATGGAAAGTACTATATCACATGTATTGTAGTATGTATATCAAGGTCTTCTGTGGCATTGTTGGTGAGGCCTTGAGCTGCTAGCCACAGGGATGGCAGTTCAAACCCACCTCCAGCCACTCTGGAGGAAATGAAGCTATTTGCTTCTGTAAAGATTTGTAGTTTTGGAAAATCTGTGCATGACTACTATGGATTAGAAACGATTGGATGACAATGAGTTAATTTTGGTTTGGAGTGTGTATCACATACGCCTCTAAAATTATTATGAAACCTTACATTAAAAATACAAAAATCACTCTGAAGTATTATAATGATTTATATAAGTCGTACTTCACATTGGAATTTACTACAAACTTGTGTCCTTTCTTTCATGGTCAAACAAAATCCTTGAAGGGAAAAGAGGCAACAACTTTCATAACTGCTGGCAGCAGAAGTCTAAAAGCAATGAACAATTGAATGGGAATGTGTGGTTTATCTCTTAAAAGCTGATCTTTGGCAGCTAGCTATCCTTTTTGTGGGAACTCTTTAATACATGATGAGCTTTTCTTTTCTTTTGACTCTTCCTTTGATGGAACAAGAAACAGTATGATTCTGTGCTCTGTTGATTTTCAATGTTGCTTGACAGGGACAGGAAAAAATATATCAGGGTCCATTTAGCTTGCCAGGCACCACCTCCACTCTATGTCTTCTTGACTCAGTGCCATTGTCGCCGGCTGCCTCTAAAGGAGGCCCTGGGCAGTGGAGAAGTTTAAGCACTCAGCAACCAAGAAAAGGCTCACCAGTTTGAACCCAACCAAAGACAACCTCGGGAAAAACCTTACGATCTACTTTCAAAATAGTAGAGTCAGGAAAATTTACAGAACATGTTTCATCTGACACGCACGAGGTCACCATGATTTATAGCCAGCTGCACCGCAGCCAGTAAGAGCAGGGCTGCAAAGGATGCGCCGGGCTCTGTTAAATATGGAAAACCTTCGACCTTGCCTCCTCTTTTCCCATGTCCAGCTCAAAAGAGATTCGAAACCTCATGACAAATATGGGATTACAGGACAAAGGAGTTTTCCAAAACCATGTTGATGAAACCTTTGCAAATAATTTAGTCATCATTCCTATATCTTAGGGGGGAAATGAGGATTTAAAACCCATCTTATAAGATGACTTCAATTTAAAAACCTAGAGCAGTTATAAGCATTTTCGTGCATTTTTAGCAGCTCTACCACCCATATGAAGTTAAATAAGTATGTATAGATTAAATAAATTATAAAATTACCAACCTCTTGTTCCCAGGCAATTCACCTATCATTGGTAATTATTCTATTATGGCTATAATATCATAGACATACATCATGAAAACGATCAATCAATGGTATTGTAGATTGATTTCTCTGTCAAGGTCATGTGCAGATTCCTTGTGCCATAATTGGTTACTTCCTCACACTTATTACCAATGAGGATTATGAATGTGATCCAGAGTCGTTCTGTTTTGTTCTGAGGCTTATGTCATTCTACTCTCCATAAAAGAGTGCTTTCAATAGCTTGTCATGGGGATGCACGATTCTCCTTTTAAAAACCAAAATCACTGCCCTTGAGCCGATGCTGACTCAATGACGCCCGTGGGCATAGACAACCCAGCCTTTCTCCTGCGAAGCTGGTGGTTTCGAACCATGCGGATCGCAGCCCATCATGTAACCACTGCAATCTACAAGCATAATTTAATTTGTTTCATGAACACTGGAAGTCAGATATTCCTCTTTTCCTTTTACTGTTACACTCATTGTTCTGATTGTGAGTCAAGATTGTTTTATTCTTACCCCAGACATATAATATGACTTTAAGTTAATATCTCAGTAGGGTTTTCAAGAAAACTGCCTCAACTATTTTGTAGCCTTACGATTTATTACTCCTCTAACATTATTGCTGCCTAGTTTTTGCAAGAAATGCTATGAGTATTCTTTCCTGTTATAAAATAAGGAGTCAGACACTGATGACAGCACACACTGGGACGGGAGCTCTGGGACAACCGTGACCACAGGATCATTCTACACTCAGTGGCAGATTGGAAAGTCTAAACTGAGTAATGTGTCTTTGGGCTAGATTCTGTATTTTAGAAGGAATGGGTAAAGCATTAACTTTCGGAGTATTTGATCATGTGATTTAGGATTTGCACAGGTCACCAGATCCTAATTATATGATACATAATTATGTACGTTCATGTCTTCCTAAGTATAAGTGAAATATCAGGATGTGTGTTTTTTCCTTACACGTAGTCATATACCTATCTTTATAGTTATTTTAAATAAGCAAATGGACTAAAATTTGTAAGTCAAAAAAATGTTATCTCATGATTCTGCTCTAAAAAGATAAAAATCGCCTCCAGCAAGTCTGTCTTGCTGAAAACTTGCTCATCACCAGTCTCTCCACCCCAACTTTAAGATGAAATTTTTATCTGAGAGGGTTCGTTTCAACTTTCATCAGCAATGATGCTGGTGGCGACGGTGTTTTCCTTTTCTTGGTTCCTACAGCTGCACCAATGGGAAAATCGCTTCGAGCTGTCAGTTGTGTGATGGTTACTGTTACAATGGGGGCACGTGTCAGCTGGACCCGGAGACAAACGTACCTGTGTGTGTGTGAGTACCTAACTGCAGACATTCACGATCGGACGCGGTGTACACGTAGACTATCTATTCTAGTTCTCTCCTTTCACAGGCAGTAATTGATTTTAAATAAATGTTTCATGGACATTTCTGATCAAGTATTGTTTCTTCATTTGCTCATGTACTATAGAATCTCCTCCTTCACTTTGTTAATGATTCCATGAGGATGATCATATTTGATTCTTAGCCTCATGCTCATTTCAGACATTCATAGATCTTGGATGTGGAAATGCAGTATATAATGTTCTAATTTCACTGCCCTTGTTCAAATATGGCAACCCAGAAATAAGCATGCTTTCTTAATTCTTTGATATTTACAAACATTCTTTTAAAAACAACTTGAAGTATATTTTCAAGTGTATAATGATATTTGTACCAGGGTTAGAGTGTTATATCATGTAAGATTACTAAGTCCTTGACTTCTCTGGAGTACATTAACTTGAATCTGGGTTTTTTGAATACTAACAGAAACGATTGACCATTCTCTGCTCTTGAGAAAATGTGGAACTTATTTATTATCTCTATCTTAGTGCCCCAATTGCTTATAATTGGCAATTTGAAATAAATCATTGACCTTTGGTAGCCACTATTTTGAGTGTTCTTTTTTCACTGTTAAACCTGAAGGAAGACAATCCTATATAATCCAAGTCTTCATCCTGTTCCCCACTTACAAGTGTAGCATGTGATGACTGTGTTTAAGAAAGAAATAATATACCTGGTATAATTTTTTTCCTTTTTTCCCCCACCTAACCATTCTTGTATGAAATGAAACATTTGCCAAAAAAAAAAAGAAAGAAAGAAAGAAAAAGTGAGACGCTTTATTTAGTTGTATTTTACTGAAATTCTGCAGATGCTCGGTGGGGTTTAAAAGTCAGCGCTGTGACCAGAAAGCGAACCCTTGTGATCACTACTGTCAGAATGAGGGGATTTGCACTTTAACTGCGTTTAATGAGCCGAGATGCAAGTAGGTTTAACCTTCCGCTTAACGCTGCACTTCATGTGACATCATTTCAGGCCACAGTTCATTGGTTCAAATCATGAACATCCATATGCATTTCACAGTACATACTTAATCTTGGGGCTCATCTATGTCATACACACTTAACCTTTGCTTCGCACTCCGACAAGTGCGTGCGCTCTACGCTGCTAGAGCGTTTAGAAGGAAAACAGAGACATGCAAAAGCTCGCGGAACTGCCTAATGAAAATGTATGTGCTAACAGAGTGGCTCTCAGTTCAAGAAGCACCGAAGTAGGTGTTGTTCAACTTTTTAACATGCGATTTAAAATACTGATTTCTACATAGTGACTGCTGTTCCAATTCTAGTGCTAATGAAAGACACTATTTCATGTCCCTAATGTTTATTGAGCTCTCTCTTTATTAATGAAGTGGAGAAAATAGGTGCAATCTCTTTTCAAAAGAGAAGAGAAACATTTCCTAATAATGCTTAGAATTTGTTCTTGATAGAGTTTGCTGATTTTCTATCCATGAAAATATAAATTCTAATATTCTCTAAGAAACTTCAGGGACCAGCTGTACTGTAACTGTCAATATTTGTCACAATGGAAATTATTTTTGCATTGTGATTTCGGGCATTCGGGATAAATCATATCCGGCCCTCCTTAACGCTCAGTGTCAACCACAGAACCCCCACCTGGAACTGGATTATAGCCCCGCTAGGGGCCAGGTCCCAGTATGAAGCAATGATTTTATAAGACAATTGTCTTAAAATTCAGATGTTTCATCATAGCCGCCCCCCCCCCATCAATTTGGTTTGAAATTCCTATTTTATTATGTAGAAAATGTCATCTTTAGATAATAGTGGAAACATTATGAGAAGTGATTAAAATGGGAAACACAACTCTTACTTTTTCTGGAATGGCTACTAAACTAATTAATACATACAAAGGAATTCAGAAACATCTTTTTAAATATTACGCAATAAATAAATAAATTCAGTTCTTAATCTATGCTCGGGTTCAGTATATTTTGCAATTAAAGGTAAGGAGAAAAAGACAAAGATCACTTTGTCATACCCCCTTGCCCTACCTGTACTCTTATCCTTCCAGGCATCATGCACTAAGCTAACACTTCAAGGGCACCATATCCCAGACATGGGAAGTTAAATGAACTAGTAACCCCACCCCTCCCCTCAAAATTAAGGAGCTGGGGAGCTCTTGTAACACAATGCGTGGCAAACTGGGCTGCTAATTGCAAGGTTAATATTTGAAACCCACCAGACAGTCCTAGTCAGACACTCCTAGTATCACGGTAAGTCAGAGCCCACATGATAGTGCATTTGGGGTATCAGACTAAAGAGTTACAGGGTCTCTAGGAGTTGGAATCAATTCATGAGCAATGGGTTTGGATTGTTGGTTGCTTTTTGATTTGATATGAAGGAAATCATTAATTTGTAGGACTAGATATTTGTAAGCATTTAATTAACCTATAATAAAGTAGATTGATCACAGGGCTACAGTGTGGGTAGTAGGTTCTTATCAGGGTGACACATTAAGAATAGGAGATGAGATGATTTGGAGGACTTTAGGGGAAAAGGGGACATTTCCCTAAAATGTGACATTTTGCTCTGAGTTCAGTTGGTGGCGGGGGGGACCTCTAAAAAGACAGGCACGTAAGCGGAGCTGCCGATGTGAAACATAGGGGCCCCTTTGAGTCGCTGATTGGTCTGGGGGAGGTGTTGAGAAGGTGTCACTTGAAAGGCAAATTGGAACCAAGTTTGTGGCAAAGACAAGGACTTATGCTAAAGCCTGAACATAATGAGTAGCCAGAGGTTTGAGGTAGAGGAGAGATGTGGTTTTGAATAAGGTACTTATGATCAGCCACAGGGAGTCTTATGAAAAGGGTAGACAATACTCTAAGTTAGAAGCAGTGAGGTTTTGTAAATGTCGCCATTTACAGGGAGGGAAGAATAGTGTGGGCAATGAATTCACGGGTATTTCACCTGGCGACATCTGCTCGGATGCCCAGGCTTCATTGATTCTGCCCAGGATCACGGTGCTCAGGAAGATGCATCCAGCATCCCAGACCCGCCTCCATTCTCCACAGGTTAGCCTCCAGAGGATGTTCAGAGGATGTCCCTTAGAATCACAAACAAATTTGAGATGTATCAGTCCTTTATATATATGTGTGCACTTAAAAAATGTTTACTAAGAATAGAGAATAATCATAATGATCATTACTCAATCTGAGAAGCTCAGCCAGGAAAACATTATTAAAGAACCAACAGTAAATGCTATGTGCTTTTGTGTTTCTCTATCTCTTTATCTGCACTTGACTTTGGGGAAATGTCTGCGTTTGGTTTCTACTCACTAACATTTATTTTAATAGTAGAAGTAAAATTTAGTGCACATTTCAAATCATTTAAGCCAGGAAAGGGAACACAAGAGAAATAATTATATTATCTCATCATTCAGTAACTCATTCACAATATATTTAATTTGAGCCAACAATGAGTGAAACTGTGTAAATTTGGAAACAAACTTATTAATAGCAAAAACAAAGTTAGCAAATATTTTCACTCAAGCACTGTATTTTAAACATTTGTTGTCATTATGTGAATTTATTGAGGTTCCAACTTATAAGTGATGCTCTGTACAATAGAATGGGCATTATCAAATTTAACAATCTGAGCAAAATCTAGTGATGAGCACTACTGTTATCCGCAGTTTACAGACAAGACAGTGAGGTCCTATCATGATGACGTTTCTGATGGCTTGGACTAAGAGCATGTGCGCCTGTTTGATTCTGAAGTCCATGTCTGCTCACGGAGTGTTGTCTGTACAGTCTCTTGTTGCTACAGAAACTCAGCTATGGGTTTTATTTTTGAATAAGGTTCACGTTGTGCAGATGCTTTGGTTTTAAACTAATTAAAATGCCATGTGGTAACTTTAATAATAAAAAGATGGCTAGAGTGAGGTGGAAAAAAACTGAATGAAGAGGAATTGATTCCTCCTGGGACAGCGGAAGGCTTTAGAGAAGCAGCGACATGACTGCTGCATTTGGAGGGTCAAAAATGGGTAGTAGAGCTACAGAGAAGTACTATAAACGGATTTGATTGAATAGGTATCGGAGTAAAAGGTGACAGTTGCTGATGATTTGATTTTGTTAATGTTTCGTGTTAGTATGTGTTTGTGTGTG